CTAGAAAGTGTTCGATAAAACTTAGCAATTATTAGTAGTAATACCAACATTTTCTTGTAAATCCCAAAGGGTTTCCGTAAGGTATGTCTACCATTTTTATCTGACACACCTTCACACACACACAAATGAGATCTTGTTTCTGTATGAGAAACCTCCTAGTTTAAAATTCAGCATAAAGTTAAAATCAAGTTTTACATAGTTGAATGCGCCCTCTAGTGGTACACATTATGTATACATAATTCACATCTACAAGGTAAAAACTTCTTCATGAAATGTTACTAGTTGGTGCTTAGAACCTGAAGCTAACTGGTTGGTAACACTGTGGTGTGAAGAGCACTATTAGGTGTCTTTCAGGATGCTCATTATCTTCCAGGGATAGAAAATTTTTTTGCCTTTTAAAATTTTCCCCACATCTGACCTAGGACTACTCTTTCATATTTACCATACCAAGTTGCATATTTATATAGTATTGACCTTGATCTGGTGGCATAGTGCCTAAGGCATTTGACTGCTAACCAGAAGGCTGGCCACTCCTCGAAAAGAAGGTTGGGCAATCTACTTCTGTAGAGATACCACCTCAGAAACCCAAAGAGGGGTCACTATGAGTCGGCTACTGAGATATGAATCGGAACCGACTTGACGGCAGTGAGTTTGGTTTTTATGTTTTTTTTTTCCCGTTAAAAATGTTTAGGGTATTTTAAATTTTGCTTTAAACAAGCACCACAAAGTATTTGCTCTTCATATATATACTGAGCAACTACGTACCAGGCAATGGACTCAATTATGAGGATACAATATAAACTACTGATCACACAATTCATCATGTCATTACAGTTTTGAAAAAGTACTATAAGGAAGTACAAACTGTCTTGAGAGTACAATATGGGATTTGGTCCAGTTTGGGAGGGCTTTGGAAGGCCTGTTACAAGCTGCCATCAAGTTTGTCCCCATGTGCGAGTGTTAGTCTGGATGCTCTGCTGAAAGCTGTTCAGTGCCAAAGCAACTCACAAGCCTCCACTGAGGAATGGTAGGTAGCATCATTTGAAGTGCACTGGCTGGGACATGGCATGCTGGTGGCATGGTGCCTAAGGCATCTGACTACTAACCAGAAGGCTGGTGGTTCAAACCCACCAGCCACTCCTTGGAAGAAGGTTGGGTAATCTACTTCCGTAGTGATACTGCCTGGGAAACCCAAGGAGGGGTCACTATGAGTCGGATCTGACTCCAAGGCAGTGAGTTTGGTTTTTTGGTTCTCTCCCATGAAAGGTGAAAATTATACCATAGAACTACTGCCCTCTTGGAAGGCCTCAAAATGAAATGTTCCAAGACCTGAATGATGAGTAGAAACTGGAAGATTAAAAGAGTATTAAGGAAAATAGCTTATCTAAAACCTGGAGCGATAATAAAGCACATTGGGCATTTGAGAAGCTGAGGGAAGTCTTCTATGAATGGGGCTAAAAGAAGAGGGAGAGAATTAGATAAGCTGAGACTAATGAAACAGGCAGACAGAGACACAAGGGCTTAGTATCACGTTAAGTACTTTGAATTTCTTCGTGAGAACAGTAGGGAACTTTGGAAAAGGTTAAAGCCGGAAAGCAACAATCTGATTTGGTAATGATTTACACATTCTATAAAGTTCACTCTGCCGCAGCATGGAAAATGGGTACGCTGGGTAGGGCAAGAACGGATGCAGTTACTCACGGGAGAAATGATGGAAGTTGAGACAAAGGTTTGGCAATAGATAAAAAGGGGCAAATGTTTAAAAGGTAAAACAGATCGAATATGAGGAAGGGATGAGTTAACTGCGTAGATGTAAACCTTGTTTTTCCGAATAGACACAACTAGTGGAGGTTCCCTCTGAGGATGGGGAAATTATGAGCTTATTATGAGAACCAAAATACTTCTCTCAAAAGAAGAACTTCTTTAGCTACAACATGTGAAATTTCAAATTAATGCTCTACTAGTATTGGGCAGTAGAATCACGAAGCTCTGGCCCCCAGCCAACAGGGCTCCAAATGCCCTTTTCTGCCTCATCACACTGATCCACTCCCACCTGTCTTGCCTCTTCCAGGAATACCCTTCATTCCCTCTTCCAGACAATTTTACCAGCAGAATTTTTCTTTTCGTTTTTCGAAGCCCAGCTCTAAAGTCACCTTTCCGGAAGTCTCTCCACTGATCCTGTGCTGTGCTGTTGTTACCTGCCGGTAAGTGGGCTACGACTCATAGCCGTCCTACACACAACAGAAGGAAACACTGTCCGGTCCTGTGCCGGCCTCACAATGCCTGCAATTATTGTTCCTCTCCTCTATCTTGCCAACTAAGCTGTAAGTTCCCAGGGAGCAAAGACTAAGTATTTTCCCTCTTTGTGTCCCTGGCGTCCAACACACTTCACACACTATACACCCCACACACTTCTACTCAGCCAGGTGAGGTAACCACCAGCAGATGCCTGCGTGCAACGGCGCGCCTGCACACCCCAGCCTCACTTTGACCCGCCGGAAGTGACGCCCTCTAAGGGACAATATATTTCCGGTCCAGGAAGCCGACGTCGCCCTACAGGGGCGGTTTTGTCTGGCTGGCAAACTCTCTTGCTCTGGAGGATTCGCGCGCGGTAAGAAGTCACACACGGCTTAGTACTGTGGGCAATCCCCGCACTGCGATGGCCTACGATCCCCTCATTCGTTCCTTGCGGCCTGCGGGAACTGTCTTGGGAAGCGCGGGAGGGCAGAAAAACTGGTTGCGGAGTTTACCAAGGCCCCCAGCGCCAGGTGGGGCTGGTGTGCGCTGCCAGAGAAGGGTGCCGGCAGAGGACAACGACCTCAGCTGTGGGGCGCTGGCTCACTGAAGCCTGCGGGCCGGGTGCCAACCTAATCTTGATACCCAGATTTTCCCCATTCCACGTATTCAAGGGGCAGGATGATCCACTTACTCTCTTGAACAGCGGTCTCATTGTGACACAGAATCTTCACCGCCACATGTGCGGTGGGTAAAGTGGAGCGCAGCCTCTCACACCAGTTCATTAGAATGGCTCTCCTGCTTGTGTTGATGGGACACTTTTTGTGTTCCCTTTTTGGGCAGTAACTGAAACTTTGACATTTGATTAGTGCACGGGATTCTGCCTGAAAAAGGTGGCAGGTTAAAATGATTGACAGTGATTTGAAACCACCGGGTTAAAAGTAGCTTATACCCTGATTCGTAGAATATGATCTAGTATTGCTATATAACTTTGATCACAAACACTTTATTTATAAATCTGCCGGAGAAAATTGTAACGACAAACTTAAACGACAACATTTCTGTATAATTACAAATTGGTACAAATTGTGCTGAGATTAACAGAACAAACATGAAGATTAAGAGAAAGTGGTACTAGGATTTAGAGTTAGGAAAATAAACGGCCAGGAAAACTGCAGGATTTAGGAATAACTTCACTGTATTATTGTGTGATTTAAATAATTGGTTTCTTAAAATGTTTTCCAATTTTAAGCAAGTATTTGTATATGAAAGTGCTGGGCTGCTAACCAAAAAGTCGGACCCACCAGCCTCTGGGATGAGAGATGTGGCAGTTGGCTTCTGTAAAAGTTTACAGCCTTGGAAACCCTGTGGGGCTGTTCTACTCTGTCCAATAGAGTTGCCATGAGCCAGAAAGGAAGGTAGTGGGTTTTGTTGTTGTGTTTTTGGAGTATTAATATACAACGACTCCTCTCTTATCAACTATTGCTATCTGACATTTTGCATTTATGACAATAGTAAAAAATCTACTACCTGACTATTTTGCGCATTAACTAGGTGGTGGGCATGGTTACAACCACTGCCCCAACCTTCAAGGAGGGTCTTTTTGTGGCCTCAGAGAAACTTGGCTATGCTGCCCTCCATGCCCTCCCCTACCTCCTTCTGGCTCCGGGGTAAGGTCCAACTGCCACTGACACACAGACACCACTGAGCCAGTGGGTGTTGGCTCTGGGTTCCCACCTCCTTCACAACCTGAGGCCTTGCAGCTCAAATTTGCTGTGGGTTGAGAAGGGAGGAAAGAAAGAGGCATCAGAGAGGGTGCTTGGAAGAGAAGAAATGCTTGCAAGTTTAAAGACACCCCAAAGTGACCTAAACTAGTCCTGAAGCCTCCACATCAAGCGACCTTGCAGGATGCCCCAAGCCTTGGTTTCTCACCAGCCCCAGAGGACAGAGCAGACTCTGTGATCGTGAAGGAAGGGATTACAGGGCTAGGAGTGGAGCCCTGGAGGAGGCTCAAATAGGGACGTTCAGACCCAGCATAGGAGGAAGGTGAGGTGCTTAAGCTGTGGGCCCTTCAGTCATACAGTCTGGCTTTATCCAGCTTTGTCTCCTCTAGACCTCCTCTGTAGAGGAATAATTCATAACTAGACTCATCACAGTGATGAGCACTCAATAAATTTTAGCTGTTACTATTTCTATGATCATATCTTCTAAGTTAAAAAAACAGAAAAAGGGATGTCTGAAGACAAAAAAAAATTTAAATAACACCAATTTTCGCAAAATGGCCTGGTCTTTGAAACCTAATCATATTGATAATGAGACACAGGTCTATGAGTTTTTTTTTTTTTTTCTTTTCCTGGAGTGGGTACTTGTCTTGTAAAGGCCAGATTTATATTACAGGTTTATCAATACAGTAAATAAGTATATGGGTTTCTGTATTAGTCCCAGGGTAGTCCAAATGGTTTGCTTGACTACTAACTTAAAGGTTGGCTGTCTGAACCCACCTAGCAACATTGCAGAAGAAAGGCCTGGCAATCTGCTTCCATAAAGCTTATGTCCAGGAAAACCCAAGGGAGCAGTTCTATTCTGTGGCTATGAGTAGAAATTGACTTGAATTTGGTTTTTGTTTTGTTTTTTGTTATCTACATGTAGTGAAAAAGTGTGTTAGTAATTATAAACTTTAACATGTGAGCATATATGATAGGTATTTGTCTTTTGATGACTAACTACCCATGCTTGTCTTGAAGCTTGATGAGGTGTATCTGATGAAACCATGACCAGGTGGGCACGAGTTACTGCCACACATAACAAGAGACCCTTGGCTGCGACATCATGGGAGGATATGAAGAAGGGACCCACTGAGGGAACAAGTCAAAGCCGACCAAAGGCTAAACAACTTGAAGCTAATAGGCTGTCCCTTAAAAATGACACACTAGAAGCAAAACACAAAAAGAACAAAAAGAAAAAAGAGTACTTAAATGAAGATGTAAATGGATTCATGGAATACCTAAGACAGAACTCACAGATGGTTCACAATGGGGAAATGATAGCAACAGACAGCCAGAAAGTAAGGGAAGAAATTGTGGTTGCTTTAAAGAAAGACGGTCGACGGGAAGGAAGAAGATTAAAAAGACAAGCAGCAAAGAAAAATGCAATGGTAAGATTATTACTTCTACCATGTTATTTATTTTATATGTCTAGAGACTTATCATACACACACATATCTTAGGAGGATCTTATTGCTGTTAGGTACTAGATTTATAAAGCATCTTTATAACATCAGCAGCTACTACTTTTTTTTGGCATCTCCTATATATATGTCCGGGAGCTCTGGTAGCATAGTGCCTGAGGCACTTGACTGCTAACCAGAAAGCTGGCGGTTCAAGCCCACCAGCCACTCCTCGGAAGGAAGATGGGGCAATCTACTTCCGTAATGATACTGCCTCGGAAATCCAAGGAGGGGTTGCTATGAGTCGGGCTCAACTCGACGGCACATAACAACAACAACAAATATATATATGTTTGTGAAAGCTCTGTGGAGCAGTTATTAAAGCATTTAGCTGCTGACCAAAAGATCGGTGGTTTGAACCCAGTAGCCACTCCATGGGAGAAAGATGAGGCACTTAGCTTTGGTAAAGATTTATATAGCCTTGGAACCATATGAGACAATTCTACTTTGTCCTATAGAGTCTCTCTAAGTTGGAATTGACTCAGTGACAGTGGGTTTGGCAGTATGGTTATATGTCCCTAAAGTCCTTGGATGGCACAGTTTGTGTTTGACTACTAACAGAAAGGTTAGTTGTTTGAACCCACCCATTGGCACCATGAAGGAAAGGCCTGAAAATCTGCTCTTGGAAAGATTATAGCCAAGAAACCTTCTGGAGTAGTTCTACTCTGTAAATTAGGGTTGCCATGAATCAGAATCAACTTGTCTACATCAATTAACATGTTTCTGAGGGGTACAGTTAATGTGCTTGGCTGTTAACTGAAAAGGTGGTTCTAGGCCTCTGAAAAAAGTCTTGGCAGTCTACTTCCAGACGATCAACCATCGAAAACACTGTGGAGCAGAGTTCTACTCTAACATACGTGGGTCACTATGAGTAATATCACCTTGACACCAACTAGTTTGGTTTGGCTTTTTTTTTTTTTTTAGTGTACTTGGCACTTGATTATAGTGTTTAACCATTGCAACAACCTGCAAAGATGGTGGCATTATTCCCATATTATGGATGACAAACACTGAAGTACAGACAAGTTAAATAACTTGCTGAAAGTCACTTAGCTAGTATCAGAGGTGAAATTCAAACTTGAAGTCTGTCTGACTTCAAAACTTAACGTTTTTAACCCTGTCTTTCAATAACCATTTTTCAAGTACCCATTTGAAAATACATCAAAACTATAAAGAAGATTAAGTCCAACAGGTTAAGTGTATCTTCTGTTGTTTTTATCAATTAAAAAGTGAGGCACAGGAAGGCGATCTAACAAGAATTACAGGAGAGCAGAGCAAGTAATAGCAGAGTTAAAATTTGAGATTTCCCTAGTCATTGTTCCCTCCCTCATTGGTACACTGGGTGGAACACTGGGGGCAGCAGGTTTATTTCTGTAGTGCTGAGCCCTAGATTTTAAGCTTTGTTGGACAGAGGAAATGAAATACTTAGTAAGATACTTTCTCTTCTCTAAGTCTTTGAGCAGAGTACCGTGTAAGAAACAAGAGTTGTCAGTTATTACACTTTCATTTTTTATTAGAATTACTAGATATAGAGCACTGAACCAATGCAGGCTTATTGTTGGCTTCTGACTATTTGTAGGATTAGTTCTATGCATTGGCCTATTTAAAGATAATTATTGTAGCTAATACTGATGAAGCATTATGGATAAATTTGAATAAAAAAGATAATTTTTTCTGTTTAGATCAGGATAGATAAAGTTGTGTTTAGATTTGAAATTTATTGATATTTTCAGACACAATAGTTAATTTAAAGCTTAAAGATAATTAAATAATTTTATTGACATAGGCAATATGATAAATTGCATACGAGTTGAAAAATCTTAATATTCTGACCTTTTAAGAAAAGCTTTATATTTGTAAATAAGGGGGAGTTTTTTTTGTTTTTTTTTTTTAAGGAATGGTTTATAAATAGTATATGGCTTGCTGTGACCTACTATTTAACTGATCTTCTTGTTAATATTTTTAATACCTCATTCTAGCACCAGATTTTAAATGCAGATTAATTAATTAGGATATAGAAATTTACCAGACAGCTTCCTGCAATATAATATACATTGAATTTTAGGATCATTCAAGAAATTCAGATTTTAGTTTTTTGAATCAACTCGTTCTAAATTTTAAAAATCATGAAAGAATTAAAAATAAAGGGAATCATTCTTTTCCAATATATTATGAAACAGGAACAAAGGAAAGTAAGGATATAGTTGCAAAATGTTATGTATTTTAATTTTCATGTGCCTGTTTAATTTGTTTTTAAAAATGCATATTTTGAAAGGTAATTAAATGATTAACTGTTTGCTATTCAAGAAATAGATACACTTTTTTCCAGTCTGAATAAAATTATTTAAATTATCTGTCTTCTTTGGTTATGGCAACAATTCTTATTCGTTGTAATAAAAAAATATATTCTAAATTGATGTGTAGTTTTTAAAGTAAACAAATCATTGTTTAATTTTTTATTGGAGCCAAAAATTTCATTTTAGAATAAATTACTCTTCTAAAAGGTAATGTGTATATATTCTAAAAATAAAACCTCTATTTGTGAGTATTAAAAAATATGTATTAAGGTTAAAAAAATTAAGGATATATTTTTAGTATTAAAATATCTTATTTCAATCATAATTTAAATGGACTCACTTAACCCAAATTTATTCAATTATATGAACTTTAAAAACTGCCAGTATAATTTTGAGTGAAAATGTTATAGTTGTCGTTTATCTTCTATATCACTAATAATGAAATAGCCTATATTTGCTTACTTCATTTAAGCAAGTCTCCTACAAAAGCCATTTATTACCTCAGATCTGAGATTCTTGGTTTTGTGGACTGAAAGTTTGCAAAAGCACTGAGACCCTCTGAAGGAAATTTCTTAGTATTTGGGTGTATGTGAAACACTTTTTTCTATAAATAAAATATTGAGGATTTTTAAAAAAGAGCTAGATTTTATCTTTAAGATGGGAAAAGTTTTAAAAGTTTTCTTTTTCTTACAATTCATGTGCATTTTGTTTTGTGACATTGATAGCAATTCCCACAGTGTAACATTAATTGCAATTCTTCCCACTTCCTCCCTGTGCTTACTGTTTCCATTCATTTTTCTTTCTTACCCTTCCTGTCTTCAGAGCTTTATTCCTGGGCAAACGCTGCCCTTTTTGATCTTGTATGGTTGATTGTTGTACACATTTGATTGTTCTTCTAGCATTCATGGAGCCAGTATAGTATTGCAGTATGGAAGCTCACATTTTGTTTTTCCAGGTGTGTTTCCATTGTAGAAAACCTGGACATGGGATTGCAGATTGCCCGGCCACCCTTGAGAATCAAGATATGGGCACTGGAATATGTTACCGGTGTGGGTCCACAGAGCATGAAATAACCAAGTGCAAGGCTAAAGTAGACATAGCTCTTGGTATGTCTTTCTATGGGTGTTTTGTTCAGTTGGTGGGGAATGTGGCTAAGAAGTAGCCAAGTGATACATTTTTTTTTTTTTCTTGACAAGAGTTTGTTATGAATTTGCCACTTAATATTTTGAAATCATATCATTTAAATTTTAAGTTGTATAAAACAAATACATTTTCTATGTGTAGTATTTTAAAATAATGTGAATAACATGACTTGTTAACAGAATTATTGATCCTTACAGGTGAATTTCCTTTTGCAAAATGTTTTGTTTGTGGGGAAATGGGACACCTGTCCAGATCTTGTCCTGATAATCCCAAAGGACTCTATGCTGATGGTGAGTACTGTTAACTCACTGCTATTGAGTCGAATCAGACTCATAGCCACCCCTTCTTAGATTTTCCACGCAGTATCTCTACAGAAGTAGATTGCCTAACCTTCCTTCCGAGGAGTAGCTGGTGGATTTGAACCACCAGCCTTCTGGTTAGCAGTCAAATGCCTTAGGCACTATGCCACCAGAGCTCCTCATATTAAAAAAAAAAAAAAAGAAAATGCCGAGTTATCTTGCAAAGTTGTGATTTAATTTATTCTTTTAAACAGAATTCTAGAATAAGTAGCAAATCCTTGAGAATTTCACTGTTTTGATCAAATGGTAGTTGTATGTACTGGGCTTTCCATGTAACGTGATTTGGTATTTTATAAATTTCTACTTCTAAACATAACAGAAGCAGAGGATAATATCTCAAGTTAATACAAGATTTTAAAAATTGTGTTGTGTGTTAAATCTCAGCTTAACATACCATTTTGAATGAAAGGGCTAGTACATACTGCCCTTTCAATATTTGTCATAATTATGCTTCTGAATTTTTTTTAATTGTCTGGCATGGAGTCATGTAACTTTCTTATCTTTAGCTCAGTTAATATCGTAAGAGCCCAAAATAAACTCTGTGATGTTTAAAGCTTTAAGGAGAGATTGTCATCTGATAAAGTGAATTTATACATAGGCCTGTGTACCTGTGGCTGGTGCCATGAAATTCTAGATCCCTGTCATCTTATGTCCTAAGTTCCTCTAGTGACACTCAGTGACAAAACATAGCTTGTTGAGTCAGTCACTCTTGAGTTATAAACCCAGAACCAACACTCACTAGCTGTGGGACTTTGAGTTTGACTTCTGTCAACCTTAGTTTCCTCACTTATGAGATGGTGAGAGTAAAACAACATTTCATTCATTCTAAAATGTGTATTTTTTCAGATTTTAATATCTCTGAAATTTAATCTCTCTGATTCAGGATGCATCATACACTGGCAGGTGTCACATAATTAGCAGAATTTTTCTCTTTATGGGGTATGTAAAGAGCTCTGGTGGCGTAGTGGATAAGGCACTTGACTGCTAACTGGAAGCTCAGCGGTTCAAATCCATCAGCCACTCTGTGGAAAGAATATGGGGCAATCTACTTCCATAAAGACGTACAGCCTTGGAAACCCAAATGGGGGTCACAATGAGTCAGAAATGACTCGATGGCAGTGAATTTGGTTTTTTGGTTTATGTGATACCACATAAATGAATGATATGCTTATAATCAACAGTATCCTAAATTGATGAATTACGGTATTTTCCTGGAGGAATTATCATGAGGATTAAAACCTATTATTTAATTGCCTCTTTGACTCTGGATTATAAAATGGTAAAGAGGCCTGGGCCTGGAAGATGCTCACAGGAGCTTTTCAGATGCACACACATGAAACAGGCCAGATAATATGACTAATGAGCAGAGAAAGCTTTGGATTGTCAGCCAAAATGAGCAGATACTTTTAAAAAGTGCAGGAAGAGGAATAGAGCATGCAGAAGTGAGAATCTAGCCAGGCTTATCCTCTATAGAATCATTTTTCTGACTAAGTGACTTTAGCATTCTGAGCATCATCATGATAATGCTTGACTGTTAGTGAAAGAGTCATTTTAAAAATCGTGTGTGTTGTATAGTTCCTAATGTTGGAATGTTGCTTAAATTAGGCAAGTAGGCATTTTTATAAGGATTACGGTGACAAATAGAAGGCACCTGGAACAAAAATTGATTTTATTACTTTCCTAACTGCTCATCCTTATCTGACCTGTAGAGCGGAGCAATGGCTCCTAACTTTTTTGGGGGTTATTGATCAGTGCATTGGAGAATCTGATAAAAAAACCTCTGTCCATCCTCAGAAAAATACATCTGCACACAACTTCTGCTTACATGCATGAGGTTCACAGACCCTTGACTGCCTAACCATGGCTAAGATCCAGGTGTCTATGCATGGCTGTTGGACACTCTAGAAGATGAGTGCCTTCTATCACATCTCTCTTTTCTTCCCTACTTCCCCCCAGAAGCCCAGGGCAAAACACAGTGGGTAGTTATAGTTTTGTGCTTTGTAAAATTAGGAGGAATGGAGAATGAACTCAATAGGAATGATGACACCTACCTGTGTAGAAAAACAATGTAAGAAAATCGGCAACCTTTACTATTGGTGATGATGTGAGGATCAAATAAGATATGAAAGTGTTTTGAAACATTCAAAAAACCTATGTAAATATGAGGTATTTGATGATTTTGTTCTTTTAATAGGTGGTGGCTGTAGACTTTGTGGCTCTGTTGAACATTATAAGAAAGATTGCCCAGAAAGTAAGAACTCAGGTAAGATCCCTGGCCTCTGTTTAGAAGGTATGAGATTAGTATTTCTCTGTGTCTTTTCTTATTAATAACTTTGACTGACGACTATTGATTTAAGACATTCCGTTTTCCTACTGCAGTGATGACTAAACCACTTCACTGTAAGGAGTAGACACAGTACTGAGTAACTGAGCATTAGCTGCTGTTCTCAGTTGGAAAAAAACCAAAAATGTGTCCATTATGCCTTTGAGGAGCCTGATTTTATAAAGCATTTTATTTATAAATGTTTATATTTGTTAAGTGAATTTATTGATTAATTTATAGTTAATTACAATAAAGCCAATTCTTCCCTTACATGAAAGTCTGTATTCACTAAGACAAAATAAAAAACATGAAAATAACTTTAAATTTTCTTGTGACTGAGTATCCTCATATGTGTTTTGCTTTGTGAGTACCTAAAGAATTAAGTATTGACTGTGAAAACTGTTGAAAATATTAAAGATATGTTATCCACACAGCATCTGGCCAGTTATTTTCTTTCTAATGAAATAGTGGCTGAGGTGGTCAAAAACTTGATAAATGTTCTGTACCAATGGCAGATGTTAGGGGAAGTGGAGATAATTATTGCATTATTTTGTCTGGGTTATAATAATAATAATCTATGTGAAAGAAAGTGAAAACAGTAGGATAGCCCAGTAGCGTTTCTTAGGGAAAAAAAAAAAAAACACATTTCTTTTTATTTCGTATCGTATTTCGTACTATACAGAATACTCCGGACATTCTTACTTGCTGTCTCTGAAATTGATCTGAAAAACAAGAATTCTTGTTTACGATCTCGACTAAAAGAAGATAGTTTTTACTACATTGTAGGCAGTGAGATTGAAATGATGAAGTGGATTTGAATTTTCTCTCCTGGGAGGATTGCCACTTCCCGAGTGACAAGACTGACAAGCAGATGTTGTATAATTTCACAGGTGGAATCTTGTGCATTTAAACTAATGCTTCATAAGTCTTGCTGTTTACAGACTCTTGGAATTCATTGACTATAATGATGAACTCTGGAAAAGAATGAAAGAGCTTTCTCATCAATTTGTGCATTGCAAAGCAGTTGCTGCATTTCCCTAATTGGGATGAGAAATTGCCTGTGGTACTCTGAAATCAAGGGTTATAATCAATTACAGAATTGCTCACTTTCTTTTAGTGATGGAGTCTTCCCTCCTTGTGATTATTCATGTCAAAACTAGTTCCTTTGCTCAACCAGTGCTATTCTAAGTGGATGTCTTTGATTACATTCTGTTTTTCTTACATTCTGACTTTTCTATTCCTTTACAGATCAAATGGTCACAGTTGGTCGTTGGGCAAAGGGAATGAGTGCAGACTATGAGGAAGTTTTGGATGCTCCCAAACCACAGAAACCCAAAACAAAGATACCTAAAGTTGTTAATTTTTGATATATCTACCTCACAAGATGGAGCTAGGCTTCTTAGGAGGCCTGTATGAGCTGAACATGGTCATACACCATTTCTGCCCATCAAGGAGTTACTTCTACCACTGTTTGGAGAACACCAAAAAAGCATAAGATGTTTAAATGGGATTCCATAAAACATGTTTAACAGGCAGAACTTAGGTATAACTAAAAGGTTATATACCTGATTTTAACAGTCATCTTTTCTTATAAACAGAAAACTGTTATCAATGTAAACTACCCCTAAAAAAGATGCATTTGCATTTGAAGGTGAACTTTTGTTACACTGTTTTCTTTAAACTGTAAATTTTATTATTACAATAGAAATTTATTTATAATTGTCACAAAATTGCTGTATTTTAAAAAACTGAATAAAAAATCATTATTCTTTGCTTGTTTTTTTCTGAATACCTAACTCTAAATTAACAAGCCATTGTCCATTAATGTCCATGTAACAATCCCTTTTAAACAAGGTCCTTTATGAATCTTAGCATAAATAAGGAATTGGTTTATTATTTTTTTTTAATTTTGATTAAAAAAAAAAACCCATAAATTATTAAGGGTAAAATTGAAAGCATCTCAATTAAACAGCAGCCCTTCCTTTGTCCATGATTTTCAAGAGAGAAATTCTAGCCACATGCCTTAGTTGTATAGTGCAACTATGGTTATCTTTAATGAGCAAATTTGTTTTCTCACAGTTTAGGAAGCCAGAAGTCAGATTCAGGGCACTGGCTCTTGGGGAAGCTTCTTTCTCTGCTGGCTTTAGGAGAAGATCCTTGTCTCTTTCGCTTTTCTAGCCCCAGAGTTCCTTGATTCCTTGGTGATCTTCAGATGCCATCCATCTTCCCCAGTACCTGCTTGCTACTATGTCTGATCTGCTTTTTTTATAACTCAGACAGTGAAACGCCCTCACTGATATGGCCCATTAACATTACAGAACCCCTATTCTCAAATGGGATTATATCCACAGGTATAGGGATTGGGATTCCAACACACATTTGGGGATAAGTGGTGGGGAGAAGGCCACAATTCCATGCACAGCACCAAATTTCAGTTTGGACTATTTAACCAGAATGATGATACACAACAGATTGTATATCAGACTTAACAGCATTTTGATCACATGTTTTAGATGAGTCAGGGTGAGATGGAAGTATCACCATAATAGAGTTAGAACACTAATCAGAAACCCATTAGCTGCTTTGTTTGATTTGATGAATACATGCATACTTAATACATATATTTCACAAGGCTTAACACCAGCATTGTACTGTATAATGGAATGACTGGTGGATTGTGGGTTTCATTTGAAATTTTACCTGATTGGATACATTTGTAACTAAAGGAAACAGCTGTGATTAGTTACTGATGCCTTGAAAGCAAAATATTTACCAAATAAGAAAAGAAACACTTCTCTGTTTTAATGTCTGCACAACTCAACAGTTCTAGTCTTAATAGGAGCTGTTCTTTTATTGTCAGTGTGAGAGGAAAACATGATGATATAATACTGCTCAGCATCCCAGAGCTTAAAGAAATGAGTGCCATTTGAAAGGAATTAACACGAGTCATGCAGCTGCAGAAGGGCAGCAATGGTTTAGTCCTAAACGTTTTACTTTAAAACATTCCAATTTATTCCACCTGTCTGTCAGGAGCAGGGAATGCCTGGGTGGTTGCAAATTGCACATTTGGGTGCTAACCGAAAGATTGGAGGTTCAAGTCTGTCCAGAGGTACCTCAGAAGAAAGGTCTGGTGATCTGTTTCCACAAAATAAGCCATTGAAAACTAGAGCAGTTCTACTCTGACACATGGGTTCACCATGAGTCAAAACTGATTCAGTGACAACTGGTTAATTGGTTATAGATCGAAACTATAGATCAACGGCAACTGGTGTGCTGCAGAAACCAATTGATAGAGTCCTCAAGATAGGACCACTGTTAACTGATGGTATTCTACTAATTTATCCTTCACTCCTTTCAGCCTTATTAGAATTTCTGTTGCTCAACACCAGGTATGTTCTTTCCTGGGTATCATTGTGCTTATCCCCTTATTTCAGGATATCCAAGGCTTGCTCATTCACCCCTTTCTAGTCTTTGCTCAAATGTCATCTTCTAAGGAAAACCTCGACCACTTGTCTGTCAGTTTATTCTACTGTGGTGGTTTGCATGTTACTGTAAGGCTTGAGGCTATGCCACCAGTATTTCAAATACCAGCAGGGTCACCTATGGTGGACAGGATTAAGCAGAGCTTCCAGATTAAGACAGAAGAAGGAAGGGGCCATCCACTTCTCAAAGAATTGGCCAGTGAAAACATGAATAACACTATTACTGGAAAACTTTATGACTAGCCCTGAAACATCCGATGTAGTGCCGGGAGATGAGCCTCTCAGGTTGAAAAGCACTCAAAATACGACTGGGGAAGAGCTGCCTCCTCAGAGTAAAGGTGACCTTAATGACGAGGATAAACTAAAGCTTTCAGGACTGTCATTTGGTGATGTGGCACGACTCAAATTGAGAAACAGCTGCAAACATCCATTAATAATTGGAACATGGAATATACAAAGTATGAAATCTAGGAAAGTTGGAAGTTGTTGAAAATGAAATGGAATGCATAAAGATTGCTGTCCTAGGTGTTGTTGTTATGTGCTGTTGAGTCGGACCTGACTAGTGACCCCTCCTTGGGTTTCCAAGGCAGTATCACTTCCGAAATAGATTGCCTAACCCTCCTTCTGGGGAGTGGCTGGTGGGTTTGAACCAACAGCCTTCTGGTTAGCAGTCAAGTGCCTTAGGCACTACACTACCAGAGCTCATAGTAGAGCAGATGGTTGTCTGATTCAAAATGGACAAAACCAGTCCATTTCAGCTCACTAACACCACTAATCCTAGGCATTGGTGAGCTGAAATGGGCTGGTTTGGGGCATTTTGTATCAGACAACCATCTGATCTACTATGCTGGGAATGACAATTTGAAGAAGAATGGCTTGACAGTCATCATCGCAAAGGATGTTTCAAAATTTGTCTTGAAGTACGATGCTGTCAATGATAAGATAATATCTATATGCCTACAAGGAAGACCAGTCAATACTACTATTACTCAAATTTATGCACTGATCACCAAAGCCAAAGATGAGGAAATTGAAGATTTTTACCACTTCTGCAGTCTGAAATTGACCAGATATGTAATTAAGATGTGTTGATTATCACTGGTGATTGGAATGCAAAAGTTGGAAACAAAGAGTCACTGGTAGATGGAAAATATGACCGTAGTCAATAAATGACACTTGAGATCACATGATAAAATTTTGCAAGACCAATGACTTATTCATTGCAAATACCTTTTTTTCAACAACATACATGGTGGCTATGCATGTGGACTTCACCAGATGGAGTACACAGGAGTCAAATCGACTACATCTGTGGAAAAAGGCAATGGAGAAGTTCAGTATCTTCAGCCAAAACAAGGCCTGGAGCTGACTGTGGAACAGGCCATCAAATGCTCATATGCAAGTTCACTTGAAGTTGAAAACAATTAAAAGAAGTCCACAAAGGCCAAAATATAACCTAGATTATATCCCTCCTGAATTTAGAGACTGTCTAAAGAATAGATTTGATGCACTGAACACCAATGACTCTAAACTGGATGAATTGTGGGATGACATCAAGAGCATCATCCATGAAGAAAGCAAAAGTTCATTAAAAAGATAAGAGAGGAAGAAAAGAATAAAATGGATGCCAGAAGAGACTGCAACTTGCCCTTGAGTGGAGAGTAGCTAAAGCAAATGGAAGAAATGACAAGACAAAAGAGCTGAACAGAGTATTTCAAAGAGTAGCTTGAGAAGACAAAGCCAATTATTATAATGAAATGTGCAAAGACCTGGAGTTAGAAAAGCAAAAGTGAAAAACACACTCAGCATTTTGCAAGTTGAAATAACTGAAGAAAAAATCCAAGCCTTGAGTTGCAATAATGAAAGATTCTATGGGCAAAATACTGAATGATGCCAGAAACATCAAAAGAAGATGGAAGGAATGAATGCACAGAGTCACTGTACCAAAAGTAACTGGTCGATGTTCATCCTTTTCAGGAGGTGGCATATGATCAAACCAATGGTATTGAAGGAAGAAGTCAAAGCTGTACTGAAGGAATTGGTGAAGAAGAAGGCTCAAGGAATTGACAGCATACCCACTGAGATGTTTCAACAAATGGATGCCCCACTGGAGGCACTCACTTGCCTATGCCAAGCAATTTGGAAGACAGCTACCTGGCCAACTGACTGGAAAAGATCCATATTTGTAACCATTCCAAAGAAAGGTGATACCACAGACTGTGGAAATTATTGAACAATATTACAAATATCACACACAAGTAAAATCTTACTGAAGATAATTCAAAAGTAGTTGCAGCATGATATTGACAGAGAACTTCTAGAAATGCAAACTGCCATTAAAAGAGGATGTGGAGTAAGAGATATCATTGCTAAGAGTACCATGGACTGCTAAAAGGACTAACAAATCTGTCCTGGAAGAAGTACAACTGGAATGCTCCTTGGAAGTGATAATGACTAGATTTCGTCTCACCTATTTTGGTCATGGACCATTCCCTAGAGAAAAATATCATGGTTGGTAAGGTGAAAGGTCAATGAAAAAGGGGAAAGCCCTCAACGAGATGGATTGACAGTGTGGCTGCAATGACAGGCTAGGTATAGCAAGGATCGTGAGGCTGGCACAGGACAGGGCAGTGTTTTGTTCTGTTGTCCATAGGGTCTATGAGTTGGAGCAACTCAACAGTACCTAACAACAACAACAACAAGGAAAACCATTCCTAAGTACCCTATTTAAAATTCCTTCCTCTCAAAAATCCCATTCTCTCTTCCTCTTTCTGGTTAGTGTGCATCATTATTTGAGATTTATACTCACACATGTATATATACCTCAAATAATTATATGTATATATCTCAAATAAGCTAAAGGAGATGAACTTGTCTGTCAGTTTAT